TGTACAGTCTCTCTTTAAAGCATTGGATCACCTGTGAATTCGGCTGGCAGCTGGATGGATATCCCCAAACCTGGCTGAATAAAACTGACACTATCTGTGCAAGTTTTAGTGATTTTTAAAAAAAAATAGATAAATAATAATAATAATAATAATAATAAAAGAAATGTAAAAAATCGCACAAAATTATGACTTCTCACAGACTCGTGACTTCAGTGAAATAACGACACATTTGAATCTGAATCAGTCGTTGAACTCAACATCTCAGTCTGTATCCATGATCTATCACATCTGTGATTCAGTTCACGCTGAAAATGATAAATATGAGCGCGCACTGTAACACGACTCCTCTTCTCAGTCCATCATTACTGCCTTAATTGTACCATCTCTGTACAAACGGAAACTGGTGTGTCTGCTCACACACGTACACGATTGCATAGCAGTGTATGAGGACAGCAAGTGCTCTGCTCATTGTTTGTTGCTGTACAGTTGTTATGTGCACGCGTGATGAATGCACATGTACGGCAGCTTGGTGCACTTCAACCTTTTCTCAATGGGAGCGATAGACATTAGGGGAATGACAGTGGATACTGTAGATATGAGGGGGAGAAAACTGGCTAGGGGAGCTGTGTGCGTGTGTGTGTGTGTGCACGTGAGTGTAGCTGACATAAACCCACTGGCAAATTGTATCGGTTGTATTTTTGGCAGCTCTGAACCTAAATCTATACCGCCAGCTTTTCATCTCTCTTCTCTATCTTCTACCTCTTTTTGTCTTCAATCGCTCTTCAAAGAGAACCCTAGAGCCTTTTACTGAAAACACCACACCTGTGTGCAAGTGTGTGTTTTTACGTACTTATGTATGTGTATACATGTTTGCGTATGTATCTGTGTCTTTGCCTGTGCATCCAATGCAACGGCCATGACCTTTTCACCTCAGATTCCCTGAGGTCGTACCCCGGTCAAAGACACACCCCACACACACACTCATGCTCAAATGCTCTGCCCCTACGTGGTGAGAAAACCCAAAAAAAGAACAGGAATGAAGGAGTGCAAGACACGGAGGGGAAAAGCAGGAGGAGGAGAAAACAGACATTAGCCTCTCTGGGTGGAGAACAAATGGAGCCCCGAGAGGGATGTGAAGAGGAGGAACGAGGGAGTGAGGGGGGAAGGAGAGGTGAAGCACACAATGCTATGGGGCACGGCGGTTGGACAGACAGCATCTGCTCTCAGCTCTCTGTGGCTCTGGTAATGGATGGAGAGTTGGAGAGACACCGAGAGAGCGGGAAGGAGGGAGACAGCGGGAAGAGGGAGAGACAGCGGGAGGAAAAGCTGGAGAAAAAGAGTGGATAATGGAGGGAAAAGGCAGAAGGAAGAGAGCTGGGTGAGGAAACGGGAGCAAAAAAACTTTCATTATTTGGTCACTTTTTGGTCCGAACACAGTGGATAAGTGCGTGTCTATAGAAGGGCGTTATCAATTCAAATAGAGGGATGACAGACGGATGGACAGACAAAAGAGGAAGAGGAACAAAAGGAGTGAGACGTCTTTCTAATAGGAGAAAGAGCAGCTGATAAGGGAGGACACACGATACCCGCGTGTGTGCATGTGTGTGCGTGTGTGTGTTTGCCGACGAAGGCTTCTCACCTTGTTCGCTGGTACCTCCCTCTCACATAGAGATCATAGGGACTTCCTCTTTTAAATGCCGAGGTGTGTGTATGTATGAGTGTATGCGTGTGTGGTTGTGTGTCCTCTGTGGGAGGAGTGGTCACTGACAGAGGAAACTTGGCCTAGTCTGTCTTATGGAAATCTGAGAGTTTCCCAGAGCCATCATAAAACTGCCTCTCTCTTTCCCTCTCCCTCCC